AGTCTATAATGGGTGCTTGATCCGTGCCTTTATAATTTGTTCTCAAACAGGTGCTCTTTATTGCTTATATCCACATATATTGCTATAGGTGCTCCTCCACCAGAGACATATACATATATACTCTCACCTCCTTTTATGACCCAAATTGCATAGGTTAAATACCGCCTTTCCCTTTTAACCCGGGTAGGTATACTGCATAGATGACTTTCCTCACTCTGCTGCAAATGGTACCGTCTCCTCTTTATCCCACAAATCCTCCGCATATGTAAACAGAAACACTAGTCATAGTGTAGTATATAAATATAGCGTGATTTATTAAAACAAAGTGCACTCGCATTTAAAATTGTCCTGCTGGGACACCACAGTAAAAAAAACCTTGTTATAATTTTCAATGTGTTCAGGAATTTCCAAGATGGCGGCTCGTAAAGTTCGGTTTAGCGGCTTGACGTCATCAGCCCATCCTATGCGGTACGTCACGTGACTTCCTTCTGAGGAAGTCATGACGTAACGTGTAGGGTGGGCCGATGTCATCAAGCCGCTAAACCGGAAGTTTACACCCACAGTACAGCCCAGAAACAATAGTGTGCGTTTTGTTTTTTTAATCTAAAACACACTGAAACTGACACTGATACCAATTAAGAAAATTAAAAATAAAATCCTGACCCTTTAACCCTGACCCAAACGAGAGAGAGAGAGAGATTTCAATCAGAGGCTATCACAGTGATCGTGTGACTTCATGTGTCTTCCAGCCCCCTTATTAGCTTGTTGCTCTTCTCTGGACTCTCTCCAGTTTCAGCTCATCCTTCCTGAGGACTGGTGACCAGAACGGCATACTCAAGGTGTGGCCGAACTCTAGTTTCGTAAAGGTGGTAGCATTGTAGTTTTTATTTCTTGAGTAAATACCCTTTTTAATGCATGCCACTATTCTGCTTGCTGCAGCTTGACATTGCATACCATTGCTGAGCCTATGATCTACTAGGGCCCCCAGATCTTTTTCCATCCTGGATTCCTCCAAAAGATTTTTTTTTTTTTTTTTTACCAAAAAAAACGTTTATTGAGAGAGTGCATAATAATACAAAAGAAAAGCGAATGATGAACATATACAACATTTGGCAATGCATGCCGGGAAAAAGTAGGAATATTCTTACAAAGAACCACATATGGAACATGGTTGTGCCAGTCCACGACGGGGTAAGTCTGTAATACTCAGGCAGTCTAGTAGTGCGCATGGGAATGTTATCGCATCGGACCTTCTTAGTATGTAATTCTCATTACAGCGCCGCAGAAGGAGGCAGGGTAGATGCAGCACAACCGTTGAGGACGAAGCTAGTGTTTTACTGGAGTGATGGTGCCTGTAAGTAAGCTTAGATTGTCGTGAGGGTCGTTAATGTAAATAAGGTAAGTATGACAATGGCATGCCTAATGTTCTCTAAAGAGGAACCCAGTGGTTGACTGGGCGTGTAACAGGAAGGTAAGACGAAAGAAAAGGAGAACAAGAAAAGAGAGAGAGAGAAAGAAGGAAAAAAAAAAAAAGGGGGGGGGGGGGGGGCGGGGACCTGGGGACGAGCTGGGTTTGTATTGTCGTCAACACCAAGGGTCTTCTATGGGTGGATTTGAGCAGAAGTCTATTAACCGGAGCAGGTAGGTGGGGATAGAGCCCTGAAGGTGAGGAAGTCGCCTACCGTATGATCTAAAGTGTGGAGTAACATACAATAGAGGTTTGTATTCAATCAGGCATGTTGGTTGGATGGTCCATAAAGGACCGGTACGTAGGAGTGGTTTTAAAGTGAGTCCAGCAGGCCCAAGTATGGGAGAATTTAGTGGGGGAATCGAGTGCGGTCGCAATCAGTTCTTCCATTTCCGCAAATTTTACCCACACGGATCAGCCAATCGCGTATGGAGGGAGGGCGGGTGGAGCCCCAAAGAGTGGGAAGACAGAGTCTGGCTGCGTTGACCATATGCATGGCTAAAGATTTGAGGTATTGTCCCCTGGGCAGAGAGGAGTGATGGAGAAGAAACTGCTCTGGAGAGAAAGCTAGGGACAAGGTGGTCACAGACACTACAAGCCTGTGGACCTCCTGCCAAAATGGTTGGATACTGGGACAAGACCACCAAATGTGGAGAAAGGACCCATCTGAGGTTCCACATCTCCAACAGCTGTTGGGGACGGAAGGATTGAAACGAGAGATTCTCGACGGAGTTCGGTACCATCTCGAAGTCCGTTTATAACCGTTTTCCTGAGTCGAGACATTGAGGTAGCATTTACGAGTATGCATGAATATTAGGTCCCAATCGGCGTCCGCCAAGCTGTTTCCCAGGTCTCTGTTCCAAGCACGGCAGGAGGGTAAAGAATTATAATCCCTACTCTTAACAAGGAGAGGGTAAATCTCCGAGATCAAATGTTTGCGTGGTTCAGCTCTAGAGCATAGGGATTCAAAAGGAGTGAGGGGACGAGTCCAGTTATGGAACAGTTTGTGTGAGAGCAGGAAGTGTCTTATCTGCAGAGAGGCCCAGAAAGGAAAATCTCGGCTATCTAGGCTATCAAGCAGTTCGCGGAACGATATTACTTTTCCATCGCGGATAAAGTGTTTAACCAAAATCTGGTCATGTGGCCAATGCTCAGATAGGAATGACTTGTGCATGCCTGGGGGGAAGTCAGGATTGAGACGAATGGAGGTTAAAGAGTTCGGTGACTCAGAGATAGATACCGTTTTACAGTTCAGGCGGAGAATATTTAAGCTGGGCCCCACTAAAGGGTGGGTGAGGAGCTCTTGAGGTGTATGCTTTGGCAGGAACCATGGAATCGATGTCAGGGGTGAGGGTGAGAAGGCATTTTCTAGGCAGACCCAGTCTTTAGAGGTAGAATGAACATGCCAGTCCACTATGCGTGTAAGGTGGCATGCCCAGTAGTACCGGTGAAGGTCAGGGAGCCCAATTCCACCTCTAAGTTTAGGGAGAGTCAGTTGAGAAAAAGCAATACGTGGACGCTTATGGTTCCATAGGAATTGTGAGCAGAATTTTTTACAAGATGTAAAAAAAGCAACAGGTATGTGGATTGGCAGCGTTTGAAAAAGATAGAGAAGGCGTGGGAGTATGTTCATTTTTCCTCCAAAAGATTTTATGATAGTTTCCATCATTTTCTGGACCACAGAAAGTGCAGTCTTCACACATTCTGCCTTCAGCCTCAGGCAGCAGCACACGTTACAGTTGTGCGACATGTGTGCTGCTCTACTCCACACATAGACTGCCACTTTGGAAGACTAGAAGGACTGTGGAGGTCATGTAAATCTTGGTAAGCAGGGGGAAGGATGGAGATTTAAAATATATTGCAGAGTTGTACTCGTAGAGCGGAAGGGAATATGGTTAGCAGGTTTTATTGGATCATAGAACTGGAGTTTTACTACTTGCCAACCGCGGATATCCCAATGAGAGCTACACTGTGTCTGGCCAGTTCTGGGAGGGCGTCATATGACGTCCTCCCAGAACGCGCTCTCCTGCGCGCCCCCGGCGATCTTCGTGATCCCTGTGTCCTACGGACACAGCTGATCACGTGATGTGGTAAAAGGCCAATCACAGCAGCCTTTTACCACGTGATCAGCCGTGTCCAATGACACGCTGATCACTGGGAAATGCAATTGCCGGTTCTCAGCTGCACTTTCCTCACACTGTCAGAGCGTGCGGAAAGTACTGCCGAGAACCGGCAGTTGTCAGAGCAGGGATCGGCTCTGATCATCAGGGCACTGATGATCAGTGCCCTGATGATTGGTGCCCAGCAGTGCCACCCACCAGTTCCGCCAACCTGTGCCACCCAGTAGTGCGCCCACCAGTGCCCATCAGTGCAGCCCAGCAGTGCTGCCAATCAGTGCCGCCAGTCAGTGCCCAGCAGTTGCGCCAGTGCCAATGCCTATCTGTGCTGCCCATCAGTGCCGCCTGGCAGTGTCCATCAGTGCCGCCTATTAGTGCCCATCAGTGCTGCCTTATCAACGCACATCAGTGAAGGAGAAAAATTACCTGTTTGAAAAATTTTATAATAGAAACAAAGAAACTTTTTTTTTTTTTTTCAAATTCTTTGCACTTTTTGCGCTTTAAAGCGCAAAAAAGTGCAAAGTGCCCAGCGGCGATTAAATACCACCAAAAAGAAAGCTCTATTTGTGGGAAAAAAAAAATTATAACAATTTCATATGGGTACAATCTTGCATGACCGCGCAATTGTCAATCAAAGTGCGACAGCGCTGAAAGCTGAAAATTGGCCTGGTAAAGAAGGGGGTATAAGTGCCCGGTAGGCAAGTAGTTAACTGATAAAAACGGGTGCTTCTGGGTTGCTACTCATCATCATTGTTCTTTTGGATTTTGTTTTTTTTTCATTTTTTTTATTTTTTTGGCTCCTTATTCCATATAGACCCCCTAAGGGAACTGCAATTGGCAAACGCTGAAGTCAGAGCTGTGCGAGTCTTTGCTGATTGTCTGCATTGTGCATCTAACACACGTGCTGTGGGAAGTCAGATTCACTAAGAGTTACCTGCCAGTAGAATGTCTGTCAATAACAGATGCACAGGTGACTATTGCATAGGGAGACTTTGTGAACTAGCGATGTGAAGGCATACAATGGGTTTGTCTGCAGTGTGTGCCCATATCTTCTACAAAGTGTTAGTGGCCAAAGAGAGTCTTTGCAGTCTTTTTTTTAATAAAATGTGAGTGTTCTGTTTGTATGCAAATATCATAATATGTGAAAATGGCAAAGCTTATGGCTAAACTACACAAAGACAATCCTATATGGTTCTTAAGGGTCTATCCTCTTGTTGACAATTATCTGATTTGTGAAACTTTGCTGCAGATAAACCGGATGGCAGCAAATGGATAAATCACTTAGCAGTAGGAGCTTTAAGGGTTCCATGAACACATTGCAGATCCAAATCAATGATAATGCGCTCCCCGGAAATCACTGTTGGGCTGGAGTTCAGATACCCTGTTTATTGTTTTGCTATCATTTTTTCTTGTAGGAGACTCTGGAAGATATTGACAAGAATGGAGATGGATTTGTCGATGAAGATGAATATATTGGTAAGATGTTATATCTAATGGTAACCATTTCTGAAGGTTCTCATCTATTCAGGTCATGGTATGGCTAGTTAATCACATTCAACTGGACTTGTTTATAATGTTAGGCATGCCATATATATATATATATATATATATATATATATATATATATATATATATATATATATATATATATATATATATATAATTTTTTTTTTTTTTTCCTGTTGCTCCAACCAGTAAATTGAACTAAAAAAAGTGCAAAATTTAAAAGTGAATACTTGTGAGCTATTATGAATGAGGTGTTCAATAAAATATTGATAGTTATCTGCTTAAATAATGTGCTTGGTTCGCTGGCACTTACACAAACCCACTTAGTTGTGTGCCTATTATCCAATTATATACACTTATAGTGCCGCGCTCCTATTGTAAATCCTTTATCACAAAATATATATCACCCTTCTAAATAAATAAACTAATAAATTAATTAATACATGAAAGATATGACAAAATTAATTAATGTGACTGATAAATTAAAAAATAAATATAAATAGATCAAGCCATAGTTGTGCTAAAACATACCATATGTGATCAATCAATATTTATAATTTATAAGTGCATATTCAATTTCAATAATAGTGCAAATTCAATAATAAATGTGCAAATGTAATCCGTAAAGTGCATAAATAAAAGTCTTTTTATAAATATGTGCAATAAGGAGTTCACCTGCACATTGCACATATTTATAAAAAGACTTTTATTTATGCACTTTACTGATTACATTTGCACATTTATTATTGAATTTGCACTATTCTTGAAATTTGAATTTGCACTATTATAAATTATAAATATTGATTGATCACATATGGTATGTTTTAGCACAACTATGGCTTGATCTATTTATATTTATTTTTTAATTTATTAGTCACATTAATTAATTTTGTCATATCTTTCATGTATTAATTAATTTATTAGTTTATTTAGAAGGGTGATATATATTTTGTGATAAAGGATTTACAATAGGAGCGCGGCACTATAAGTGTATATAATTTAAAAAAAAAGTGCAGTTGTGGATAGGGGAATCATTCTCGCTGTGCTATTGCGTTCTCACAGCAGGGAGCCTTCCCCACCATCAGAACACAATGATCAGTGTTGCTGGCGGCGCTGTCTGTTTAGGAAAAACCTGACAAGGTGGTTGCACCGACCTGACAAGGTAGTTGTACAGGAGTCAATCGATAGATTGAACTAGGGTGCCCATACAAGGATTGAAATATGTCTGGTCCCTGTAGAACCTGCCAAATTTCGATCCATGCGTGGCTGGCTTTAAAGATCTTTCCCTACACATCCAAGTGGTTTCTTGGCTGTGAATGTCAGAGGGATACCCCAGCATTTGTATCCACACAGGTAACTGTCACCTAAATCCAATATCCCTAGAACAGGGGTAGGCAACCTGCGGCTCTCCAGCTCTTGCAGGACTACAAGTTCCATCATGCCTCTGCAAGTCATAGCTGTAACTGTCAATTTTGCAATGTCTCATGGGAAATGTAGTTCCACAACAGCTGGAGAGCCGCAGGTTGCCTACCCCTGCCCTAGAATGTGTCAAAGCAGATGTTAATTGTCCAGTACACCTATACCAGACTTCCATACACCATGGCATTGGATTGTGTGATTTCACAAACTCTCACATCTCCTGTTGTGTTCTTGGACACTCGACATCTTCCTTAACACTTTTCATGGTACTTGATGTGAACGTCCTGTGTGTGTTGTAGTGCACTGCGTTAGCAAGAATGGGCCTTTAAAGTAAACCTTTCTTAGAACAATATGAGGGCTGCCATTTCTGAAAACGCTTAGTTACCCTGACCCCCTGGGTACACTTTTCCAGTTGCTGTCCTGGAACAAGTATTCAGATCAAGGAAGTTAGAGTAAGGTCAGAAGTCCATTTCTTGTAAATGTCACTTAGCCCCACCCCTTCTTGCCTCTCATGACCTCACTTTGTGCCTTTAAATAATACCGTACCCTTCTTAAAATGCTAATTTCCTAGTTTTCATGGAGATCTCATGGCTTCAATTCTTTGATTCAGTGAGATAGAAAAATATTCAGATCAGGAGAGTCGGAGTAAAGTTAGATAGACTTCACTTCATACTTGTTCCGAGATAGTGACTCGAGGTACATAAAGTAGTAGTTGAGGATTAGTTCCCCTTTTACCAAAAATACTGCCTATGAAGAAAAGGGGCGTCTGTAGCTAAAACAAGGTGTACAGCTTTGATTAAAGTTGAATAATGCCTTTGTTATAGGTGTATGCCATTTACATACTTCATGAAGCCTGACTGGAATACTCACAGGATGCTGCTAAGATGTTGCTAAGGGAGGACCACCTATTACTGTTTACCTCCACCATCAGAGGAGTGAGCTCTGTCTCTAAATCAGCCCCCCTCACATGCACTTCCTTTTTCCTAATGCAGTAACTGTGAGCTCAGAGTTTGAGAGCTCACTCCTGTGAACGTGACGGTGAACAGTAATAGATGGGCCTCCCTTAGCAATGTCCTAGCAACGTCCTGGGAGTCTCCAGTCCCAGTTTCATGAGGTATGTAAATTGCCTACACCTATAGCAAGGGCACAGTTCAAATATGGTAAAAACTGCACAGATTGTTTTCATCTACAGATGCCCCGTGTCTTCATAGGCACTTTTTTAGTAAAGGTGAGCTAACCCTTTTAAACTCTCATAGCAGACATATCTAGCTGTAAAGAATTTTTTTTCCTTTTTATTTTCCTTTAAACTCGTATATATCCTCATTTAATGAATGCCTACACCGTGTCCCTCTCTGCTGGGCTACCTTGAACGTCCAGTCAGGGAGTGTGCACTGTGCAGGTAAAAGTTTAATCATGTGACCTAATGCACTGGGACTATATCCATATGTGGAGAATAGGGATGCACCGAAATTTTGGTGGCCGAAACATTTCGCCCGAAAACACCCCTTTTGGCTGTCGGCTGATATGAAAAAAAGCACCAATACAGGTGCCGAAACAACCCCGCCCCTCGCTGCCGCCACCGCCCGCTGCTCGGTGGTTCTCAGCCTTACCTGAGAAACCATCAAACAATCCCGGCGCTGGGTATAGAGATTAGTGAAGGAAAGATGGCCTCCACTCATCTCTATGGCCTTGGAGGACCGGAGCAATGTCCCTTCCAGTTAAGGGCATTTTTTTTTTTTTTTAAAGCACTAGATCAATGCTTTTGTTTGATTCAATGCTTTACATTGCAGAGGAGAGATATGGGGTCCTATTGACCCCATTTGTATCCATAAAGAGGACCTGTCACTAATTATTTCTATCACAAGGGATGCATGCTTTTCTTGTGATAGGAATAAAAGTGATTAAATATTTTTTTTAAAGGGACAGTGCAAAAAAACCAAAACATTAAATACATGTTTTTTTTAAAGTTTAACATGTCCCTGTCCCCCCGTGCTCGTACATAGTGGTGAACACATACTTAGGCCATGCCCACATATGTAAAGGGTGTTCAAACTACACAAGTGAGGTAGCGCCACGTAGGTCAGAGCAAGAGCAATAATTCTCGCACTAGACCTCCTCTGTAACTTTACACTGCTAATCTGTAGAAATTTTTTAAAGCATCACCCATGGAGATTTTTAAGTACCGCAGTTTCACACCATTCCAAGAGCATGCGCAATTTTAAAGCTTGACATGTTGGGTATCTATTTATTTGGTGTGTATTTTTTTTTTTTGTTTTTTTTTTTTTTTTAATCAAAATGTATTTGTTTCCAAAAAATATATATTCATTTTTAAAAACTGCGCATTTCTGTTTTGGCAAGTGCATTTTGAATTTTCAGTTTCAGCACCAGAATTTTTCATTTCGGTGTACCACTAGTGGAGATATAATTTTATGCCTATGCAAAGTTTTTTTTTTTTTTCCTAGGGTGCCTTGCTTCCTATTGCCTTGCTTTGGTACAATGCACAAAACTAGGGAGTTCTCACTGAAGAGGGCTGCTGTCAATCACAGTCTTTGTAGAAGTAGCAGGGGAGTGTTTTTTAACGAAGGTCTTCTGTGCTGCCTGATGTCTCTGCACACATAGCGTCGACATATGAAGATATTTGCCCAGCTGAGGCTCCAGGAGACCCTGCAAAGCAGTGAAGCTACCCTAGAGGCAGGGGCATTTGTACAGAGGTTGCAATTGTGACCTGGCTTCAGGGGCACCTGGATAGGGGGGGCTTTGGGGGCGGAATATAGAGGAACCCATACCCTCCATTTTCCTCATGTAGCCTTTTAGCAACTACAGGAAGAAAATGGAGGGGATTGTTTCTTCTACATTCCGCCTCTCCTATCCACCTTCTGCTGTGATGAGGCCCCTGTGTGATTCCATGGTCTCCTCCCCTTCATCCCCAGCCGCACTTCCAGGTTCCCCCCTCCCCTTTCCTGCCGGTTGCTGCGGGAGATGCTGTCAGGATGGAGAGCTGGGAAGAGACCGGTAAATGTGTCATTTATTGGCCCCTTCCTTGTCTTAATGAATAAAGTCAGTGATCAGTACCCATCACTGACTCTGTCCATTCGTAAGTGAAGCATAGTAAAATGTGTTGTTTACTATGCTTGAGTTTGTGAATGAACAGGAAACTCTGCACAGAGCTATTCCTGTCCATTCATTCTGTGCAGCTGAGGCTGCAGAGATGCAGATTGAGGGCTGTGTTATCAATCAACAATCTCCTTTCTCTGTCTCCAAGGTGAAACATCGGAGGTCTGTTTAGACCCCTGATATTTCACCAACGCTGTTTAGACCCCTGATATTTCACGAACGCACGCGTTGGTCGCGCACAGAAACGGCGACTGTCCCTCACGTTAGGTATTGCCGCAAATGCCTAACAGTAATTCTAGCAGTAGACCTCATCTGTAAATCTAAAGTAGTAACCTGTAAAGGCTTTTAAAGCATCATCTATGAATAGTAAAATTTTACGTTCTTTGTTGCGGGGGCGCAATTTTAAAGCGTGAAATGTTTGGTAAGCAATGAAGATG